ATATATATATATATATATATATATATATATATATATATATGGATGGGTGGATGGATATTATCATTATTTAATTTAATTAATGAATATGTTTTTACTTCAATGTTAATCTCTGGAATTTAAAATCTCACCTAACAAATCCCGCCTAGAAGCAGAGTCATGATAATCTGCTACTTCTGTTTTAAATTGATTCGGTCAACAAGATTATGAGACATTTTATTGAGATACATTGTTTTGTTTTTTTATTCAATAAACTCTAATAGGCTACCACCCTTTGAACTAAAAATATTAGTTTGTTATTGAATCAGCTCACTGACAAATCATAGAGCAGCTATTCTGATCACGGTTTGGCGCAACACGTCCAAACTAAATATTATCCAAATGTGGTTTTCAGCGTCTGAAAAATTCAACTCATTATTTATTGATTTCATTGTGAACCGAATGTTTGAACCGAATGTTTGAACTGCCTGTTGCGGTCCCAAACTTTTACGACCTTTATCTGTGTTTGTCATGTGGGAAAAGTGGAAGCACTGAGTGAAAAGGCCTCTGTTTGTAAACTCCTTCTTATCAGTCGGGCTTGTTCTTCCCCGGCAGCTTGAAACGTGTTGTGCAAACACTTCCAGACCTTTAGTTGTGTGAATGGGCTGCACAAGGGACTGATGGCCAGTTAACCCCGAGAGATTGAAGGACCTCGGCTGCTGCTGCAGAGGTGCAACACAACAAAAGGCTAGGTGCGAATGTAGGTCGAGGAAGAAACATCCACCTATAAAAGCAGCGAGCGACTGTAAAAGGCGTGAACGGCACGAACAAAGAGCCTGTGGTTCTGTCCTGAAGTGGCTACAGAATTGTTCTTCTAATCACATTAAGATGGGCACGTGCTGATGATGTCATCCTGTCTTTGTGGTTTAAGGCCTGGCTTTAGGAAGCTGCTGCTGTAGAAAGAGCATCACACCACAAGAGGAAGAGAAATTACCAATGTGGGGTTTTCTGCTCTGGATGTTATGATAAACCACAAGCAAACTGGTTTCCATGTGCAGATTCTCCTCCTGAACAGCTGTGAGGTGTTTTATTTAGAGCCTACCAACCAGTGGCTAAAACACTTTTACAGTCTTTGTAGTTTCGTTTTAATTCAGGTTGGGAGAGTTTTTGCTTTTTCAATGAAGCTGCTTCAACCAGAGCACCCCCCCCCCCCCCCCCCCCCCCCCAGCAGCACTAATGAGAGCTTCAGGAGTCATGATCTGTCTTATTAGAAGAGCTGTCAGGAACTGGAGTGTGTCAGCTCTGTGCTCTCGCTGTGAAACGGAAGTGACAAGTCGTCCACATTTAGAGCCACAGAAGAAGAAGAAGTGCTGCCCGAGTCGTCACGCTCTTCGTTGACCATCGTTCCATGAGGCGCTGGTAGATGTGTCTTTGTGAAGAGCGTTGGGGCAAACGGGGGGGGGGGGGGGGGGGATGGCGCACATCAAATCTTAAAAGAACTGAATTCAAATTGTATTCATAGATGGAGGTTTTTTTTTTTTAGTTGGCTGAGTTTTCCCTCTTGAACTGGGTCGACTCCGAAAGTTAATCAGTTGTAGTCGTACATGCGAAGATATACGTTCTTCACGCTTCAATGCAATTCATCAAGTGGCTCATGAGATATTTTGCTAACAGACACACAAGCATCCTCTGCCGCCACCTTTTTTTTTTTTGCTACGGGCGAAAGGTTTTCATTGCATTCATTGTTCCACCATGACATCACCTTACATTAGAGAACACACAAACAGCTGTAAATCAGTACGTTTTACAGATACTGAGACTGTTTTGTGTGGTAGTAGCTGAGAGTCATTCACAGCACATACTCCCAAGTGTGTGAGGTACAGCATGAGACGTATGCTTAAAACTGTAACTAACTTTAGGAGTTAACACTGTTTGTTAGCAAAATATCTCATGAACCACTGGACAGAGTGTAATGACATTTTTGGATTCAGTTCACAACGGTTGCTTCAGCCAACACAAAACGACAACTAAGTCAATTTAACGGATATGGAGTTCAGATTTGATGGGGTAGTAGCTGAGAGTCATTCACAACACATACTCTGAGTGCGACGTCTTGCACTATCACATGAGACTGTGCACATTGGTGTTTTTAAGGTTTGACGATTCATTTCTCAACATATCAAAACTCTGTCATGAAAGGTGGTGGGTGATACGAATTATTAATGAAATACAAATGCTGGTTCAAATCAAGCACTGCAGAACACTATATCAATATTTGAGTTTTAAACCGTCTGGTGGGTTTGAAGGTAAAAGCAATAAAACTTTGTTGGTAAAGCATGTAGGGGGTCACGGTAGGTGTAAGCCCGTAAGGCTCCTCAAACTTCAGTTTACATTTCGGCTGCTGTTAAACACGAGCTAAAAGAGAAGCTCATTTACGACAGCGCTGATTAATTTCTGTTATAGACTCTTATTTGGCAGCCGAGCGCTTTACGAGATAATCTGATATGAAATAAACACAAAACATTAAACGACTCCATACAGTTTTCTTTTTTTAAATTTTTTTTATTGAGAATTCCATGAGGTTCACATATCAAACCACATTAGATTTTTTTTTTTTATTAAAAAAAGATACCATCTCCATTCTAATACACAAAAGGTACAGTATATTGTTCTTTTGCACAGCAAAGATAGGACACCTATGTTTCAGACAACATATCGACACACGTTATGTACATTGTAGTCAAGACAACAGTGCAAAAAATAAGAAATAAAAAATAAATCCACGGAGCAGAACTAACAGGCTTCAGGGTGCTCACGTTTGAGAACAAATGGGATGCTGCTGTTGTGTTTTTGGATCAAGACCGGCATGTTTCAGCTGAAAAGTGCCATTTCAAGTGTGTCACAAAAACTTTTAGGTAAACAAGCTTGATGCTACAACAAATCCTCGTGAACAGAGGAGGTGGAGTAACTTGCAGCAGAGACAACTGGGATTTTGTCATCTTGAAAAGATGGATCGATTAATCAGCCTGTGTAAATAATCAGCTGAAAGATCAGTGTTGTGCATCGGTCACTGGCTGCTCTCATCTCTAAAGCTCACATCAGTTCACCTCTTGTGCATTTGCACTTTTTCCTCTTTTTGTTAAAATGTGATCCAGCAGCCTGACTGGGTCTGTGCAGGACCTCCCAGTCTGATCCCAGCACAGTGTGGAGACAATGTGGCTCAACAAAAACAACACAAAATAAAGAGAGAGGTGCACAGAATCGTCTTCAGGCTGTCCCCACCTTGACCTCCTCAAGCCCGTTGCTGAGCGGGGGGGCCTCCTGGTTGCTCTCTATGGAGGACTCGCTGCCCGTGCTCTCCCCAGAGAGGAGTCTGGTGACCCTGAGGTCGGCTTTCAGAGTCCGCACGTCGTTCCCTATGCTCATCTCCCCCAAATCGTTAATAATCTGAGTCAGCTCGCGCTTGGCGTCCGCGCAGTCCGTGTCCAGGATGTCCTCGCACTCAAAGTGCATCGCCTTCTCCTCCTCCTCCTCCCCCAGCAGGTCCTCGGTGATGGAGCCCAGCTTGGGCGCGCTGCGGCTGCGCTCCACGGGGGGTTTGTAGAAACACTGTCCGTTCAGCAGCTTCCTGAGCGGCACCAGCGGGATGGTCTGCTCCCCGATGAGCTGCTGCTGCTGGTGCCGCGCGTCGTCGCGCCGCTTCAGCCTCTTGAACTCGGCCAGGGCCGTGGCGGACGTCTGGTAGAGCAGCAGCGCCATGGCTTTCGCCTTCTCCGGCTTAGACACGAGCACGGCGTGGCAGCGCAGCATCACCGCCTTGTGCTTCATCTCGTGCCTGTAAATCCACGCGAAAACCTTGGGGAGCCGCGGGTCCGCCACGCAGTAGGTCACCCGGTGCAGCAGGTACAAGTGTCCCGGCCTCCGGGCTTTGTCGTCCACGTGCACCATCCGGATGCCCTGCGCGCTGATGGTCAGGCGCATCTTGGTGCCGTTCTTGCCCAGCTCGCTTTTGCCCCAGATCTTGCTCACAGCCACGTCCGTGCAGCCGTCCCCTTTGGACTGGATGGTGGTGGCGTTGCCCAGGTAGAGCACCGTGTAGGTGGGGTCCTCGCTGGTGATCCGCACCTTTTTCCTCTTGGACTTGAACATGCTGCCCACCCGGTTGAGCGCGCTCTCCGGGCAGGACTTGGCGAAGGAGGTGAGCGCCGAGTAGTTGAGACTCACCGCATAGCCCTTCTGCTTGGACTGCTTGTCTTCCTCGATCAGATCAAACTTACTCTTCTTCCACGGCAGCATCTTACTGCTGTTCCCACTCAACAGCAACACTGAGGAAGAAACGAGAAGGAAGAAGGGGAGACACTTTGGTTTTAGTTCTGCTAAATCCTACAAGCGTTCATGGGCTTTTCGAGTCATTCAAGAGAGCGTACATGTTTATGAGTCCATCATCTGAGGAGCATCTGTCCAAATTGGGATCTAGCGTCCCACCTCGCTCTGCGGTCTGTAATGCGCTGTCAGTGAGAAGGATTCAGCGTTTATATACAGGGAGAAACCACTTCAGCTAGACTGTAGGGGGAGGGCTGAACCAACTCAAACTTCATGAAGTTCAACACAGAAAACAATGAATGAGTACAGATTTGTACGCGCCAAAACATCTACGTTTGATTAAAGACTGTTTCTGTAAAATCACACGCAAACGTGGTGTTTATATTGTTATCACCATTAGATAAATGGAAAAACAAAATATGACAAATAATTTCTACCTGGAGTCTGAAAAATGTATGAAAGAAAAAGGAAGGTCTGTAATTTTGTGTGGAATGGTTTATAAAACTACACAAGAAAGAAAGAAAGAAAGAAAGAAAGAAGAGGTTTCAATGGCTGTTTTACTAAAAAAAGACTATGCTCCCACCCTGTGGTCATATTTTGAAATTTCAAGCATTTCGTTTCAATCGTTCATTCTAGCATGTAATACACATTTTTACGTAATCCAATGCAAAACGTATTACCAAAAATACAAATCAAAATGGTACAAAAATTTAATAAATAAAATATTACAATAATATTATTGATTTAACTCTTTAGGGGCTTTGCTTATGCTCCTCTTGTGACATTGATAACTCTTTTTTTTTTTACATTGATAACTTTAAGGCATTTTTATTTACACGTTTCTGAACAGACGGAAGCAGAACATTTAAATTATTCTTAAATGCTACAAATGTTAATCGAAACTTGTGTGTGGTCATACTTTAATGCATGTTTGTAGATTTGTCCATTTGAATGATGGCAGGAAAGGCAAATACTTGATTTGCGCGTATTAACTCAATATTTTTCTGCAACTATTATATATATATATATATATATATATATATATATATATAATGTGTTTGGCATAGTCTACTCAGATCATTTGCAATATTAATTTTAGAATATGTTACTCGGAACACTGATTGTTACTGTCTTAGTTTCTTCAGAGCACATTAAATAGCTGGACAGGTTTGTGGAACGTACCATGTTTACAACAACTTCTACAAATTTCAAAAGAATATTAAATATACTGCCTCGCTACCGCTTAACTCAAAATTAATAATAATGTTTACTCACTTTTAATAAATGAGTTTTTAATAAATCAATTGCGTCGCTGCTACTTTAGCTAACTCGGTTGAAATGTCCGGATGTGTGACGTCATTGGTACATTCCACTTCCGCCTCTCGGGACAACAAGGTATTGCACATGCGGGTTGTAGCTGTAGAGTTAGGGTTAGCTTAGTTATTTACGTCTCCTGTTTCATATTCTAAGCTTTGTTGTTGTTATTGCTGACAGTTTGAGAATCTGACATGGGGAAGAAGAAGGCAGGTGGAGGAGCAGGACTCGGCAGATCTCTGATAAAAGAGAGACTCAATGCGAGCCGAGGAAACAAGAAGGTCGACTCCTGGGTACGACAGAATAATAGGCTACAAATGCCTACACTGACTTGAACGACATCGGCTACCTGATGAGAATCCAGTGAGTTATTTGACCCACTGGATCGATGTATAAATAACCTGACAGTTGTCTCTCCTTTTAAGCTTCACACCAGTGAGTTGAACGATGGTTATGATTGGGGTCGGCTGAACCTGCAGTCAGTGACAGAACAAAGTTCTATGGATGATTTTTTGGCCACTGCTGAACTGGCAGGAACGGAGTTTGTTGCAGGTAAATAAATTTAACTTATGACAAGTTTGCTTTGTGATCTATATGCGTTTTGTAAGCAAATATTACAGTGATGTCACTTAAAAACTATTGTGATATAAATCCAAAAACATGTTATTCTTCAACACTGTAATTATTAATTTTTTTATTAATCTCAGCCAAAATAATGCAGTTAAATCTTCATTATGAATCTTGATTGTGGTGTAGTGTATTTGTCATGTGCTCTGGAGAAATTTATAAATAGTAAAGCAGCTTTATGGGACCTCAATTACATCTGTGTTTATGCAGCTACCAAATTCATTGTGCGAGATTAATGGCTGTTTTGTTGTTTGTTTGTTTTCAATTGTTTTCATAGAGAAACTCAATATCAAGTTTGTTCCAGCTGAAGCAAGAGCAGGTTTATTAACAGCCGAGGAAAATGCCAGGTTAAAGAAGCTACATGAAGAAAACAAGCACTTCCTTAAAATTCCTAGACGGTAAGTTTAATGAAATTACTTGGTTTACCAATGTAGAAGTATATTTTGCATTTAAAAAGTGTTACATCTTTTTTTTTCTTTGTAGTCCCCATTGGGATGAAAGCACAGCTCCAGATGTGCTTCAACAGGCTGAGAAAGACAGCTTCCTGACGTGGAGACGTGAACTTGCACAGTATGCAATGTTCTGGGTTTTAAATTGTCTTCACGTAACATTAACAAACTCAGTACTAATACCCAGAAAAAAATATTTAATATTTTCATAATGTAAAATGAGCAAATTGGAGGCATAATCAATTTGATATTATTGATGTTTTGATGTTAGTTGATGTTTTTTTATTTCCTTCCCATAGACTGGAAGAGGAACAGAAGTTGATTCTCACTCCTTTTGAGAGGAACCTTGAATTCTGGAGGCAACTGTGGAGAGTTATCGAAAGGAGGTAGAAACAAACGCTGCACTGTGCTGTCAGTTCACATTTGTCATTTAGGAGAAATATGCTCTCTTTAAAGGCATGCTAAAGGAAAGTCTGTTGTTCTTCAGTGATGTTGTCGTTCAGATCGTCGATGCCAGAAATCCTTTGCTGTTCAGATGTGTTGACCTGGTGAGTCTATCGTTTAATGAGCCTTAAAAACGATTCTGTTAGAAATAAAAGCAATGGAACTGAGCTTTTTTTTTTTTGCAATATATTACTTTGATTTGTATTAGTTACCATGCTCTGTTGTATTCACGTTCTTAAGTTTGAGTTTTTCCCTCAGTCCATCACCTGCCTTTAGATGCATGATGGAAACGAGATCAACACCTTTTTGATCAACTGTTTTTAGTCGTCAGTGGTCTCCTGTCTGTAGACAGATAAAGTCCTGCATTGTTGGGAAAAGTCAAATTTATGTTTAAAACGCTGTAAAGCATACAATACACTGCAACTTTATTCATAAAACACTTTAAAAACAACACCGTTGGCCAAAGTGTCATACACTGATAACAGTAAAAGTAATGAATCGTTAAAATAATTAAAAACTGTAAAAATAAAGTTACAAAAATAAATAAAACGACTCTTATATTGTGTGTGCCACCAGGAGTTGTATGTGAAAGAGGTGTCTCCACATAAAGTGAACTTGCTTCTAGTAAATAAAGCAGACCTGCTGACCAGGGAGCAGAGGAGAGGCTGGGCCAGATATTTTGAGAAAGAGGGTCTGAGGGCGGTTTTCTGGTCAGCACTGGCTGAGAGCAACAGGCTGGATGCAGAGGAGAAGGTGAGGTGGGACGAAGATGAGCTGTACTCTGAAAAGTTTTTTCTCTCTCTCTTTATCAGATGTTTGAAATTGTCACACTTTCTTTAAACAACAGTTTGAAACATTTGTCTGGCTCACAGGGCATGGAAGTGGACGCTCCCGAATGTGCAGACAGTGATCCAGAAGCAGATGGATCGCCATGCCACAAACACCTGAGCCAAAAGGCGCCAGACAGAGAGGACACGGAGGAGGACGAGAGTGATGAAGGAGAGCAGGAAAACGTGACTGTGGATGAGGAGGACTGGCAGACCTGCTCAGAGGGTGAGGAGGAGGAGGGAGAAGGAGGAACATCCAGTGAACCCTTTCACAACTCGAGTCGGCTGCTGCAGAAGGATGAGCTGCTGAACGTGTTTAAAGCTGTGCACAACGGGCCCAGATGTAAAGAGGAACAACTGACAGTGGGACTGGTGAGTTAAAAAAAAAAAGAATCTGCGTAAGATTTAAATTGATTTGTTCATTCGTATAAAGCAAATCTAATAATAACAAACTAGTTCAGATTGTTTTACCTGCTTCTTCAGGTTGGGTATCCCAACGTGGGAAAGAGCTCCACCATCAACACAATCCTAAGGAACAAGAAGGTTTCTGTTTCAGCCACACCTGGACACACGAAGCACTTTCAGGTACATCTCGACACGTTGCGTGAGTTCAGTTCAGAGAGCATCAGCTGAAAGCTTTTTGTTTTTTGTCTTAACACATAAACAGACTCTTTATGTGGAGCCAGGCCTGTGTCTCTGTGACTGCCCCGGTCTGGTCATGCCCTCGTTTGTTTCCACCAAAGCCCAAATGATCTGCTCCGGGATTCTGCCTATCGACCAGATGAGGGATCATGTACCTGCAGTGTCTCTCATATCCTGTTATAAGAAAACGGGTGGACTTTGCTGATGCTTCGTTTTTGTTTCATCAAAATTCATAAAAATGGTTTCATGTTAATGTGCTGACAGTAAGCTGAGAAAATGTATGGATTAGAAGTTGGTTGCAGAGCGTTAAGTCCTTAATGGCTTTGCCACATCTGTCACATGATTCCTCGGCACGTGTTGGAAGGCACGTATGGCATCAACATCATCAGACCAAGAGAGGATGAAGACCCCAACAGGCCTCCCACCTCTGAGGAGTTCCTGATGGCATACGGATGTGAGGCCAACACACATTTATCACATTTATGAACGTTAAATCAAAACTTTTACGTTTGAACTGTGAGTCAATACACTTACACTTAGTTAGCTGAAGATTGATGGTTTCTCACCTTGTACTTTCTCTTTGTTTCCTAATTTGATAACCTCTCCTGTCTGTGTGAAGATGCTATGAATAAAATGTTACATATTTCTTTCTGTTTCAGACATGAGAGGTTTTATGACGTCGCACGGACAGCCTGATCAGTCCCGATCAGCTCGGTACATCTTGAAGGATTACGTCAACGTCAGTTCCACCCTTTGATCTTTTTTTTTATTGGCAGCTCGACTTTTTTCTTTTTAAGAGAAACTGTTTTAACCTGACAAAATCCAATATTATGGACCAGTGCATCAGATCATACAGCTTCAAGTTACTTTGGCTAATGTATTTTGTGTAAATCAATAGACACCATCTCCATGCTTAACGTATTTCCCCTCAGGGACCATAACGTTTACCTAACACATGCTCACCCTGACATTTGTCCTCACAGGGGAAGCTTCTGTACTGCCATGCTCCCCCGCACATTAATCCTGAAGACTTCCAGCCACAGCACAGCAAGTTCCAACAAAGAGACATGGACTTATGTGACCCCTCTGCACCGAGACACAAACAACCCAAAATCAAAAGAATCGAAAATGTTGTTGACAAGAACTTCTTCCATCAGGTAAAACGCAATCCTCAACTTTTTATTTGTTAGGAAAATTCCTATATAAGCGTTTGTAGTTGTTAATTATTGTGAAATTAAATGCCCGACTGAATTTTGCAGGAAAATGTGCGAGCACTCACCAAGGGAGTGAAGTCTATCATGGGCTACAAACCAGGCAGTGGACCTGTTGGACCCGGGAACTCTGAGCCAGAGGTGACGGTGGGAAAACCCTGGAGAAAACACGGCAACAAGAACAAAAAGGAGAAAGTACGCCGGCTTAATAAACATCTGGATGCTTGACGATGATCTGAAATCTTTTTAATCAGATATTTTTTTCTGATGACATAAAAACTCTGAAATGATTCCATAAGAACTGAATAGATGCTGAAGTGGTCTGGGTTGATGAAGACTCCTTAATCCTGTGATAATGAAGAGGTCTTGATCTTAGCTGATGAGTTGCATCATCTGCCAGGTGCTGCTCTGGTTTAAAGCATTTGAACAACCAGATTCTTGGTTTTTCAGCAACTGTTGGACTTTACATTCAGAGAGTGGAAAATGTGCTATTATTTTAAGCTTTTACAACATGCCAGATGGTTTTTATTAAACCGTTGATTGATAGATTATGAAATTCTGCCATTCTCTGCTTGCAGAATTGATTTATATCACCAAAATGAACTCTCTTTTTTTTTCCTGCTTTACTTCAACTTTTTTCCTAATAAAGTTGAGTTTCAGAGAGGAAAATAAATATGAACGTTCATTTTGTGTCTTTTGGAGAACGTGCATGAAAAAGCACTAAAGATTCTGTAAACACTCACCTTGTAAAGGTTTAATCTTTGTTTTTGTGTGCAGTAAAATAGTCGTTCTATTATGAGTATTCAAGTTTTTACTGTAAAGATGCGTCTTAATCTCCATCAACCAAACAGAAATTATTGCATATTTTTGCATTAGTAATATTAAAACATCCATATGGTTTAAGATTCATAAACAAGCTTGAATATTAATTAAAATAATGCTCGTTATTTATTTGTTGTGATTGTGTTGGAACATTTAAGACTTGTATGATTTTGATTCAGTTCAGTTTATTTATATAGTGCCAAGTCACGCATAAAATTTCAGTTTTGCATATGTTATAAATGCCAATTGGTAAAGTAATCTATTTAAGGAAGGAAGGACGCCAGCAGATTGCGTTGAAGTCTTCGTTTCGTTGCAGTCTCCCATCCTGAGCAGGAACAGTGGCAACAGTGGAAAGGGAAAAACTCCATAAGAAGAAGAAACCTCCAGCAGAACCAGGCTCAGGACAAGTGGCCATCTGCTTCGACCGGCTGGTTTATAGAGGAACAGGACGGAGAAACGGACACAGAATGGACGTGAATAGGTCCCTCACTAGGAGAAAAGACAAAAAAAAAGGTTTTGTCTTTAACTTTTTTTGAACAAAAAAACTTTTCATTTGATGAAATACATCAATTTGTCCTCCATTAGTCTTAAGCCTATAGCAGCATAACTAAGGGGTAGGTCAGGAAACCCAAGATGACCCTAACTATAGGATTTATCAAAAAGGAAAGACTTAAGCCTCGTTTTAAAAGTAGACAATGTTGATATCACTTGTATTTTGAAATTCCTAGACAGACTGGAAACACAATGTTTCAATATTTGGAATAAGAATAACACTAGTTTTGCATTATTGTACATCATACAAAGTAAATTATACATATTAAAAACCTCAAGTTCAATGTTACAGATGATTTTCAGACATCAGGGGGGTACAAACAAACATCTAGGTTGAGTCCTACATCCAAAAACAAGAAGCAAAAACAAACTCGATTTATTTAAGTGAAGGTATTAACCAGTCCATGGCTGTTATTTGGATCGTGCTCGTTGCTTCACGGTAATAGGCTCACATCTTACCTGTGCAGGTGGATCTCAGGTTGCCCCGCCCCTTCCAGATATGAACCCAGGCCTGGTGTTGATTGGATGACGCAGAAACGTGAAGTAGCCTCTGTGTCTCTTCAGTTTACTGGAAAATAAAGACATTTAAAATGGATGGAGGTGCTTCGGTCCCTGACAGCCCCTCCAGGTGGAGCTCGGACAGTTTCCTCGCGCTCTTTGCCTTTTGGCTTCATTCAGTCTCCACCTGCTTCTCTGGGGACGCGGACAAACTTTGCGTCCCCGTCGGGCTCACTTTGCTCTCTGCTCTGCTGCTGCTGCTGTCATGTCTGCTGTAAGTAAAGCTCCATCATGCACAAGTTCTTTCTATAATTCTAAGAATTAAGACCTTGTAGCAAGTCGATCACAAATTTATCTTTTTTAAAAATTAGGATTGTGTGCCAAAGGTGCAACTTTCGAGGTGAATATTCTGGGGAGTCCATCATGATGTTTTACAGCTTCCTGGGTAACCTGTGCAGCTCAGTAGGAGCCGTCCTTTCCGGACAGCTGCACATACAGGTGACGTGATAAAACCTGGACTCATTTGAATATGTTGCATGCATCAGCTCATATCTCTGTCTGCAGGTTTTCATGGCTGTGTTTGCAGCTGGGATGGATGCTGTGAGCTGCGTTTCATGTTGCCTCCCTGTGTGCCTGTGTTGGAACTCAAAAACACGTAAGGAAATGCAATTAAACCATAGCAGCAGGGGCACCAGCAGGGGAGGAGGTGGGCAGGGGCTGCTCTGGCCCCCTTTTGCTGGCCACCTCACTGGTCTGCGCCCCCCCCCCCCCCCAAAAAAAAAAAAAAAGCTCTAATGAGCTTCTTACTGGATTTTATTGAAACTGTCACTAAGTAATCATTAAATGTACAATTACAAATAAAAAAGTATTAGAGTCAATCTAATTCAAGATGGCTGCAGGAGCTAATCAGCTTTAGCAAACACAACAATGGTGAAAACTCAGTGGATGTAGTGAGCTTTAATTTTTTATGTAGTAGTAGCTGAGCTTCATCCCCAACAAATCCACTGAGGGCTAACAGATTGTGCAAGGTCCTTAGCATGCAAGGTGGCAAACATGCATGCGACAAGCTGCTAGCTTCAGATTTAAATTAGAAAGGACAAATGACGAGCTAAGTAGTCACTCTGCTGTTCTCCGTTAGTTCTATCAACCGTGAAGTTCAAAAACAAGAAAGTAGGCGATTCCCCTAACTCATACATGCAGTCCGAGTTCTCAAGCTGTGGTGCAGCAGCTACTCAGGACCTTTTTAATGGTACTCAAAGAAAATTATCCATATACTGGTCCCGCTTAATTTTGTACTGAGTCACAGCAAGCAGGTGCCTGAGTCCAGCAGTTATTTGACAAGAGATTGTGTTAAGCCTGGACAAGTCACCAGTCAGTCACATGACTGGTTTTAGCTATTTGTAAGTTCAACAAGCCAATTTTGTATCCTACGCTAACCTAAAAGCAACGCTAAAAATCAAAGATAACCAAAAAGTTTCAAGGAAATTATTTGCTCAAATGGAAACTTTTTGAAATGATAATGCAGTTGACAATATTTTGACACCCCCCTGTGGAAACTGTAGTAGATGATGGTGCAAAATAGAAACTTTGATTCAAGTTGTTTCAAATTTGTTTTAATTTGATGAGGGGTCAAGAAGAGCCTAGACTGTAACGTATACATTGATATTCTCAGCAACAAATGCTTTGATCCATCACATCTTGAACCTCACTCTTTGACCAGGGTTAGAATTAACAAGTTCACAAGTTTGCTTAGTTTAATGTCCATCATAGCAATAGTAGTTGAAGAGCTTAGGAGTTTCTGAGGTGATACTTACTGGTAGTATGAGAAGTTTGAGACCGCTTGAAGATAGCTATATTTTATTAACCTTTATTTAACCAGACAAATCCCATTGAGATCACAGATCTCTTTTGCAAGGGAGGCCTGGGCCTGAACGCAGACAACATGCATGTTTTTGGAGGACGCCTAAGTGCCCAGAGAAAACCCACAAAAGCACGAGAACAACATGCAAACTCCACACCGAAAGACCCCAGGTCCAACTGGGAATTGAACCCAAGACCTTCTTGCTGTGAGGCAACAGTGCTAACCACTGAGCCGTCGTGCTGCCACATATGACAACAATGTAATAAAAGTCTTAAAATTCTGATTGGGCTTTTGGTTTTGTTGTGCCACCCTATGGGTGGCCCCCATTTCACCTCCCTTTTGAAAACTTCCTGGATGCACCCTTACATGGCAGAACAAAGCCTTTAGGCACGGCAGAAAAAAGTTATCAGTAAACATACAGATAGCCACACCAATTAACCAATATGTTTGACCTTGGTGTTCTCTGGTGTTGTGCTGCAGAGACGAGGCTAAGCGTGGCTAAGAAGCGCAGGAGGCAGCACCTTTTGGCTGTGGGCGTGCTGATGGTGGTTGCAGGAGGTTTCCTGAAGTCCGGAGAAGACGACCCTCCAGAGTCCAGGCCCTTCAGAGGGAGAAGGCTTCTGCATGCCCCCATGCAAACCTCCAGTTCTTTAACGGTGTAGCTGCACACAGAAATTCCTTGAAACATTTTGTATTTAGTCCAACAATGTTCAGTCAGGTCATCTGGACGGTTTCTTTTTTTAGTGCTGAGACATTTCACCTTCCATCCAGAAGGCTTCATCAGTCTGAGGAAACACCAAACAAAACTGGTTCTCCCCCAGCAGCTTACTCCAAAAGTGGGGAAAAAAAACGTTATGATGGTGCTAAGATGGTCTCTGAAGCTCGCCCTCTCCCTCGTCGACATGCCAAATTAGTTCAAAACACCAAAGTCCTTGCTCACTAGACTTCAGACTGATGAAGCCTTCTGGATGGAAGGTGAACCATCTCAGCAGAAAAAAAGAAACCATCCAGATGACCTGACTGAACATTGTTGGATTTGTACCTGGATTATTGAGCATGGAGTTTGGTGGTATTATTTATCGGTATTTAGGTCACATTTAATTTGATTGTAGCTTGTTCGATAACAATCCACTCTTGTCTCTCTAAAGGACAACAGTGTAATCCTTGGTTACACTTTGGGGCTGCTGTCTCTTGTTATTGCCCTGACCTCCAGGTTCCCTGCACTCTGCAGAGCAGTAAGTGACAACAAATGGACACCAGAGCCTCTCAAAGGAGGTCCCTGTCCTCATGCGTTTTATTCACTTCCACCTAGAGGAGAGGACAAGCCTTCACTCAGGCAAATGTTTTCTCTGGACTCCTGTCCTCTCTGTCTGGTGCCCTCTACACTGCAGCCATCCTCCTCAGTGACGCTCGGTTTGGATTTCTGATCCGAGTTCTGCCGTGGCTTCTCTCATCAGTCAGCTGTGCTGCCCTGGACCTGCTCGTATCCTTATCCAGAACAACCACATTTTATTTGCTATTTGCAAGGGGTAACGCTTTCTACTTTATTATTAAGGCTTAGTTTAATTCTTTAACTTTTTTTTTTTTTCAAACTTGGACATAATTTGTTGAGTTTAACTCATCCCCATCAGATTTTACTTCTCCACGGGTGCAAGAGAGGAATCAAGCAGACGATCAAAATTTCGTCTGACACAGAGAGCCTGTTGGGCAGTGCAGCTGTTCACGCTGAGGATGCTGCGCTCGTGAAACAGACATCAGCACAAACAAAAGTGGGTTTATTTTATTACTACACCAGACGTTTGACAACTCACTAAATTATTGTTTTAAGTGTGCAATTAGGCCCAAAATGATTTATAACCATAGCGATTCAAAATGAGACCTTTTTTGTCTGAAATATTTATTTAATATGTTTTTAAGAGACTTTACTTTAAAGATGTTGGTGACATAAATATTCTTATTTTTGTTACTTTTTTTGTTTAAAATAATAAAATAAAATAAAATATAAAATAAAAAAATATATATATATGAAGGTAAACGAATGATTTGCAGAGAATTGTGTCAACATTTTGAAGTAGCTCAAATCCAGATCTGAATCCCATCCAGAGCACTGAAATGATGGAAAGAAAAGCTTCCAACCTGAAAACCATCACCAACAATCCTGATTAAAATCATGCAGGTTTAGGTGTTTATTTTAAATGCACTATTTTATAACAAAAGTCATTTCAATATACTATATTGTAATTTCTAACCTACCAAAATAGTAATTTTCCTTTCATAATTATATATTTTTTGGCTTAGTTACTTTTTTTTTTCATGAAAACCATTCATTGCTTCTTTTTATTTTTTTTATTTTTTGTTTTACATATCTCTCGGACTGATTGTTTTAATATTATCTATTTTCCTCAAAGACAAAGAATTTCCTGAAGCTGACTGAGATGGGTGGCTACATGGATGTCAGTGTCCAACCTGCAAGAAAAGTGAGCAAATAATTTTCTTAGTGCAGTTTTTATAAGAAGTTGTCACTCCCTGTTTTTTCCCCCCCACTCAGCAAATGTCCCCTCAAGAAGTGACATTATCTAAAGGAGGTTCTGAGGGTGGATCTCTTCAGAGAAAGGTCCGAGTGGACAGCCGTTGCTCTTCAGATACATCCTACGACTCGTCACCTGTCAGCTCTGATCTGGAGGTGAGTTGGACTTTGTGAGGAAAATAAATATCGTAAACCAGCCAATTTGGAGCAGATATCCAAAGGATATTTTAATGTGAGATCATTTGCTGCCTATTGTACGCCGTAGAGGTTAACTACTGTATATGAAAGCAGTAAAGTTGTGTTTACTTGTGCTGTTTTATTAAATATTTGCATTAATTTTATTTTGCTCAAAGTCTCAAATTTTTGCTAAATTATTGCCCCCACCACCACCTCCACCAAAAATATTACGTCTTTGTTTTGGTGATTGAAAGTATTGAAACAGCTTTCTACAGTGACTAAATAAAGCCACAAATTGTACTTTTTATAAAGTGCCACAAGATGGTGATCGTGTATCGATATAACCGTTTGTGTAAACAGCAGAAGATGAATATGTCACTTCACCTTATTTAAACTTTTAAACTGCACCTCATAGGGCTTTTATAGGAGTTTAAGTAAGCTGCTTTATACTGCAGGAAAAAAAAATTTAATAAAAAAAAAATGGAATTCATGCAGATTTCAGCAACCTCTTGATTTCATCATAACTGCTTTATTTTTATTTTTTTATATTGGATCTACATTTCTTCTATGGGGTGCCGTTTGTAAAGTTACACAGTCAAAAATTAACAGCAATATTTTGGTTTATTTAGCCTTTCACAATCAAAGAATTGTTTTAAAATCATATTTTGAACAATTTATTCATACATTTATAAATGTCATGGTTCCAAACTAACTATTTAATTTACAAGCTAAGTATTTAGGTGTAAATTAAATATTTAATTTCCAAGCTAAATATTTATTTTCCAAAACTAAACATTAAATTTCCAAATTAAATATTTATTGTCCAAGCTAAATGTTTAATTTCCAAACTAAAATTTCATTTCTAAGCTAAACATTTAATTCAGAAACTAAATATTTAATTTGCTAATAGCTCGACCTAAATGTTTATTATCCAAGCTAAATATTTAATTTCCTAAATTAATTTGCTAACTAAATATTTATCTTGGACCTAAATATTTAACTTGCAAGTTAAATATTTATGTCCGAGATAAATTTATATAATTTTTATAATTTAGATAAAAGGTTTTTGATGTTCCCTGATTGACCAACACCTTACTGTTCCAGGTAGGTCCGTTAAGAACCAGTTTTCATTTACAATGAAATGGCTGCTCAGACCAGTTTTTCCTCAAATGGTTCATAAATCACAAATGAAACGTCCACGTCCCGCTCGGGTGTGAGCTTTGAGCAGAACCAAAAGAGGCGGAGTAGAACTCAGCTGGGTTGAAAACGAGCTTCATTCAACCTTTATTTATACAGGTTAGTCTCACTGAGCCTCGAGGACTCATTTACAAGAGAGTCATGTTTTTAACAAAAAATGATGACAACAATAGACAATCATTAAAAAAAAGCATATAAATTGGGAAAAATAAATGAAAGTAAATGATATAAAAAAAACTGCTACAATGTAAAGCAATGTAGAATACTAAAACATGCTTGATCAACGAACTTGATGCGTGTGCATGTCGAGCGTCTCCTCCATCCATCCATTATCTTCCACTTGTTCCAAAGTTGGGTTGCAGGGGCAGCAGCTTGAGCAGGGAGACCCAGACATCTCTTTTCACAGCCACCTCTCTTAGCTCTTCTGGGGGGACCCCAAGGCATTCCTAGGCCAACCGAGAGACTTAAGCCCTATTTGCACTGGATTAGTTTTACCTAGGAACCACATGCTATGTGTAATAATCACAGAGATTGTCCGTGTTGTTAATCCCATGCAAATTGGCCATGTTGGTAATTTGTGAAGTAAAAATTCTCCCTCAAATTATCTACTATATTTTGCTGAACTCTGAGGTCCTGTGATAAAACTAATCCAATGCAAATAGGCATCTCTGTGATTTGGACAGAAATGTGCAGGATCCAATATGTAATGAGGCGGTTTTTGTTTTTGTTTAAGCAAAATCATTTGGAAAAATATAGAACAAGGCTATTTTAAATGAACGCGCTGTTCGCTTCGGCTTTTGATACTGCTACTTCCTTCACCGCAAATGACAGCAGGTGTGGAGACGCGCACGTGATCAGCTGATCCATCCATCCATCCATCCATCCATCCATCCATTCATTCGTTATCTTTACCCACTTCTTCCTTTTCGGGTAGCAGGAGTCGCTGGTGTCCATGTCCAGCCATCAATGTGCGAGAGGCGGGGGACACCCTGGACAGGCCGCAAGTCCATTTCAACCGGCGGGTCAGTGGATGCATGGACGCCCACGCGTGGTCACTCACACATGCAGGTGGTGACAGGTTGTCCATCTGAGCTTAACGTGGCTTTTTTTACCTCTTAAATCAGCCGGTCGGACCTGCGTCCTCCTCAACAAGTAGATCAACACAATTTTATATTGTGCATTCTTTAGTTTTCTTTGTGCTGATTCGTAAAACCACATCAAAGCCTGAGACCGGCCCAGCTCACACATTAAGCACATTATTTGGACCGGCCTGGTCGTAACAATGCAGCGCGTTAACATCATATCCGGAAGGTGTCCGTAAATTTCAGCTAAATTTCAGGCTTTGGTTATCTCGTGCGAATATGCTACATAAAAAGCAGACGTTGGGGAGTAATTTATTTAATACATGTGGTCCCTAGATAAAACTAATCTCATGCAAATAGGGCTATAGTCCCTTCAGCATGTCCTGGGTCTTCCCCGAGGTCTCCTCAGTCCGACATGCCTGAAGCACCTCCCTGGGTAGGTGCCCAGGAAGTATCCTTACCAGACACACAAACCACTTCAACTGGCTCCTTTCAATGGGGAGGAGCAGCTGTTCTACTTTGAGTCACTCCTGGTTAAATGAATTTTTCACCCTATCTCTAAGGGAGAGTCCAGCTGCCAGTTCCCTGCAGAGAAAACTCATTTCAATCGCCTGTATCCGCAATCTCATTATTTTGGTCACTACCCAGAATTCATTTTCATAGATGAGGGTAGGAATGTAGACTGGCCTATAAACGGAGAGCTTTGCCTTACAGCTCAGCTCCCTCTTCACTACAACAGACCGACACGGAGTCTGCAATACTGTAGATGCTGCGGCGATCAGTTTGTCAATCTCACGCTCCATTCTTCCCTCACTTGTGAACAAAACCCCGAGATACTTGAACTGCTCCACTTGAAAAAACCTCACCCTCGACCCAAAGAGAACAATCCACCCTTTTATGAATGAGGACCATGGCTTCAGATTTGGAGGTGCTGATTGTCATCCCAGCCGCTTCATACTCTGCTGCAAACTGCTCCAGTGAGAGCTGGAGATCACGGCACAATGACGCCTTACAGGACCACACTCTGCAAATTGCAGAGAAGGAAATCATGAGGCAACTGAACCAGACTCCCTCCGCCCCCAGGCTACACCAAGAAATTCTGCCCATAAAATTATGCAATGCGACTTTGCAAATTCGTTTCAACCAAGACAGCCCCACAACATCCAGAGCCTTAAGGAAATCAGGGCAACGGGTGAACTGGTTAATTCTTATAATTAAACATGAACACCAAAACATGGATATTTGTAGGCCCCAGATTAAAGCAAACATGTCTGACTCTGTTTAACCTTTATTTTCCCTAAAACTCAAAGTTCTCCCTTTGCAAGTTCCATAAAGTCTATGTAGGCTGCAAAGCATGCTGGGTAGCCTTGTGGAAATATGTTCGTTTTTTTTTTTTCATTTACTTTTATTTATACAGGTAGTCTCATTGAGCCACGAGAACTCATTTTCAAGAGAGACCTGTTTAGGGAGCAGATGGGGGGTTAAGGACCTTGCTCATGGGCCCAGAGTGGGGTGAATGAGGATGGGGGCATGTGTGGGTGCTTCACCTACCCCACCCACATTTTTGATGTTGTCGGTACTGGGGCTTGAACCGGCGATCTTCAGATCACAGGCCCACCTTCTTTAACCTCTGTTCCACCACTCCCCGTACAATGTTTTTGACTATTTACAATGTTTCTGTATGTGGAAATAGGTTAATCTTGTTTATGTCCTGTTTATGTTTGCTTTAGCATTTAGTTAGTCTCTGTTAGTGACTGGCTATAAACTGACATCATGAGGCAGAGGTTGTTACTGGTATGAATAAGGGACTAGTAAACACTGATTTAACAGTGATTATCCTCACTGAAGAATGATTTCTCAGAGTGAGGTCTGGCCTGGCATGACCTGGCTTGGTATTATGTAAATCAATGCTTTTGATAGTGAAGGGCTCTTAATGTATTCTTTTGTATGTCCTGATGCATGTTCAATAATCCAGGTAGATATCTAACAAGGTTAAGTCTGGTCCTCTGGATGGATTCTTTTTTGTTGAAACATTTCATCTTTTATCCAAAAGACTTGTTCAGTCTTAGGAGCTGTAACATACTTTCTTATTAACAGCTCCTTCTCATCATGGATCAACCAGTTTGCTGGTCATGGCCAAAACTAGTTGTTCACATGATAAAGGAGGACCATCAACCTAACGATCTCAATTGTTAGTACCTTGATGGTTGCTTACTATTCACGGGGGGCTGAGTGATAGTAGCAATAACTGCATTGTAAGAGGTGTAATGTTGAACACGGAGGTCTCCGCCCCTGTTTAACGATAGACAAATTATCTTCACAAAGATGGCTTCCTTTACTCCTTTCTCAAACCAGTGTTCCTCTCTATCAAGTATGTGCACATTTTCATCCCTGTGAGTGACCGCTGGCCTGCAGTTGAGTGTAAACCACAGAGACCTGGCCTGATGATGTTGCTCTTCTGTGCTGGGCCATCCTTTTGGCCAGTGGTTGTTTAGTTTCCCCGATGTAAGATGATCACAGCCCTCCTGACATTGAACAGCACACAATATTACTCTGTTTGTGCCGGGGGACTGGATCTTTGGAATGAAGCAGTCTTTGCTGTAATGAATTTTTGGGTTTAAAAGCCACTGGGACATTATGTTTTTAGAAAATAATGTCTCAGTTACTCTGAAAGTCCCGCAACATACGGAATGACCACTG